ATGTCTGAGGCCTGCACCAGAACTAAAACACACAAGCGCTTTCCTAAGTCCAAAATTCACTCCGTAGGCTGTCCGAAACTCACCCGAGCCCTCGAGGCTCCAAACCAAACATGCACAAAAGTCCAAAAACATCATACGAACTTGATCGCGCAATCAAATTGCCATAATAACATCTAGAACTACGAATTGAGCACCAAATCAAAGAAAATTTTAAGAAAACTCATGAACTTCTATTTTAACAACCGGACATCCACTAACTTCGTTTCTCACCAAATTTGACAGAAAAGTCATAAATATAGTAATAGACCTATACCTTATTCCGAAACTAAAATACGGACCCGATATCCATAAATTCAAATATTGGTAAAACTTTTAGATTCTTTAAGCCTTTAAGCCTCAATTTTTCAACAATATGATAACTCAAGCTAGGGACCTCCGAATTCGATTCTGGGAATACTACCAAGTCCCAAATTATGATACGGACCCACCAAGACCGTCAAAATACGGATCCGGGTCCGTTTTCTCAAAACGTTGACCGAAGTCAACTTCAATGAATTTTAAGGTAATTTTTTTTATATTTTATCAGTTTTTGACATAAAGGCTTTTCGAAAAAAATACCCGGACTGCGCACTCAAATCGAGAAAGTCTAAAATGAGATATTTGAGGCTTCAAAACATAGAATTAAAATCTAAAACTCTAGATGACCTATCGGGTCATCACATTCTCCAACTCTAAAACAACCGTTCATCCTCAAACATATATAGAAAAGTACCCGGGCTGGTGAAAAGGTGTGGATATCTACTAAACATGTCCGACTCGGACTCCCAAGTAGCTGCCTTGACGGGCTGACCTCTCCACTGCACTCAAACTGAAGTATAACTCTTAGACCTCAACTAACGAACCTGCTGGGCTAGAATAGCCACCGACTCCTCCTCATAAGTCAAATCCTTATCCAATTGGACAAAGCTGAAATCTAGCACATGAGACGGATCACCGTGATACTTCTGGAGCATGAAACATGGAACACCAGATGAATTACTGATAAACTAGGCGGCAATATGAGCCTGTAAGCCACCTCACCCACTCTCTGAAGAATTTCAAAAAGTTCGATATACCTATGGATCAACTTGCCCTTCTCTCTGGACCTCATCACACCCTTCATGGACCCTCTCTCCAACCATGAATGCAACATCACGAACTCTACGGTTGACATAACTCTTCTTCCTGGACTAAGTTGTGCGAAGTCGCTCCTGAATAATCTTGACCTTACCCAAGGTATCCTGTACTAAATCTGTACACAATAACCGAACCTCCCCCGGCTCGAACCATCCAACTAGTGATCGGCACTGCCTCCCTTATAATGCCTCGTAGGGAGCTATCTGAATGCTCGACTGGTAGCTGTTGTTGTAGGCAAACTCCGCAAGTGGCAAGGACTGATCCCAAGAACCTTCGAAGTCTATAACACAAGCACAAATCATATCCTCCAATATCTGAATAGTGCGCTCGGACTGTCCGTCCATCTGAGGATGAAATGTTATGCTCAACTCAACCTGCGTGCCCAACTCAAGTTGTAGTTCCCTCCAGAAGTGCGAGGTGAACTGCGTACCTCGATCAAAAATTATAGACACGGGCACACCATGAAGACGAATGATCTCGTGGATATAGATCTTAGCCAACCGCTCTAAAGATTAGGTAACTGACATGAATGAAATGCACTGACTTGGTTAACCTGTCCAGAATGACCCATACCGCATCGAACTTTCTCTGAGTCCGCGGGAGTTCAACAACGAAATCCATAGAGATACGCTCCCACTTCCACTCAGGAATCTCTAACTTTTGAAGCAAACCACCAAGTCTCTGATTCTTATACTTTACTTGCTAACAATTTACACACCGAGCTACACATGCAACTATATCCTTCTTTATCCTCCTCCACCAATAATGCTGCCGCAAGTTCTGATACATCTTGGCGGCACCGGGATGAATAGAATACCGGGAACTGTGGGCCTCCTAAAAAATTAACTCATGGAGTCCATCTATATTAGGCACACAAACACGACCCTGCATCCTCGAAACTCCATCATCTCTAACAGTAACCTGCTTGGCATCACCGTACCGCACTGTGTCCCTAAGGACAAGCAAATGAGGGTCATCATACTGCCGCTCCCTGATGCTCTCAAACAAGGAATACTGAGCGACTGTACAAGCTAGATTACGACTGGGCTCTGAAATATCCAATCTCACGAACTGATTGTCTAAAGCCTGAACATCTAATGCAAGTCGTCTCTCACCGACTGAAATGTACGCAAGGCTGCCCATACTCACTGCCTTTCTACTCAAGGCATCGGCCACCACATTGGCCTTCCCAGGATGGTGATATTATAGTCTTTCAATAACTCCAACCACCTCCTCTGCCTCAAATTGAGCCTTTGTTTGAACAAATACTACAAGCTCCAATGATCCGTGAATACCTCACACGACACGCCGTAAAGATAGTGCATCCAGATCTTCAAAGGAAGTCTCCAGATCCGCAAATACGAGAATACCTTCGCAAATGCAAAGTCTCAACATCTCTGCTATCATCGCATTTGCGATGATTTTTCGCAAATGCGAACATTGATCTTTCGCAATTACGACCAAAATGATCGCAAGTTGCGAACCCCGCAAATGCGAGAATACCTTCGCAAATGCAAAGTCTCAACATCTCTGCTATTATAGCATTTGCGATAATTTTTTCGCAAATGCGAACATTAATCTTTCGCAATTACGACCAAAATGAACGCAAATGCGACCAAGCCTCCCTAGTCCCACTTTGCAAAAGCGAAGTCTGGTTCGCAAATGCGAACCTAAGGTGTCCCAACTACACTTTGCAAATGCGAGGAGTTACTCGCAAATGCGAACCTAACAGAGGTCGCACATGGGAAGCCTGACCTCGCAATTGTGAGTCCTGAGGCCTGCACTAGAACTGAAACACACTAGCACTTTCCTAAGTCCAAAATTTACTTCGTAGCCTATCCGAAACTCACCTGAACTATCAGAGCTCCAAACCAAACATACACACAAGTCAAAAAATATCATACGAACTTGCTCGCATGATCAAATCGCCAAAATAACACCTAGAACTACGAATTGAGCACCAAATCAAAGGAAATTTTCAAGAAAACTCATGAACTTCTATTTTAACAACCGGACGTCCGAATCACGTCAAACCAACTCCGTTTGTCACCAATTTGACAGACAAGTCATAAATATAATAATGGGCCTATACCGGATTTCAGAACCAAAATATGAACCCGATATCAATAAAGTCAAAGATTGGTCAAACTTTTAGATTCATTAAGCCTTTAAGCCTTAATTTTTCAACAAAATACGATAACTCGAGTTAGGGACCTCAGAATTTAATTTCGGGCATATGCCCAAATTCCAAATTACGATATGGACCTACTAGGACCGTCAAAATATGGATCCGAGTGCTGTTTGCGCGAAACATTGACCAAAGCCAACCCAAATAGATTTTAAGGCAAACAATTTCATATTTTATTAGTTTTTAACATAAAAGCTTTTTAGAAAAATATCCGGACTATGCACGTAAATCAAAAAAGGCTAAAATACGATATTTGAGGCTTCAAAATATATAATTAGGTTCTAAAACTTTAGATGACCTATCGGGACATCACAGATAATGATTTTATTACTTGCATGAACACTTTCTTTGGATGATCATGATGAGAATGAGGAACTATTAAGGCAATATAACATGAATGCTTGATTTGAATATTTATTTTTCTAAGAAGAAGAAGAAGAAGAAGAAGAAGAAGAAGAAGAAGAAGAAGAAGAAGAAGAAGAAGAAGAAGAAGAAGAAGACGAAGACGACGAAGAAGGCGAAGAAGGCGAAGAAGAGAAATTCAACTTATAAGCTCAAAATCGAAAATTCAAAATATCTAAACCGATTAATTCGAAATCGATCCAATCCGAGCTTATTTGGATTATAATTTCTTTATTCCAAAAATTTAAAATTCAAACTGAAATTTTTATATTCAATTCGAACTACCCAAGTGTCCATCCCTAGTGATGTATTTTTTTAGTCTGTGCAAAAAAAAAATCTTTTTATATTTAAAAATAATTTAACTTTAAAATTATTATTTTATCCTAATAAGATAATTTATAGCCATATATTTTTATAATTTGCTTTAGAAAACAAGTTTTAATTTTTTTTCTTAAACTAAATTTCTAATCAAACAATGTCACATAAAAGATAGAGGAAGTACTAGTAGAAATATATTTAGTAGTCGTAGATATTTAACATAAGAAAATCAAATTTCACCCTAACTGTCTCCCACCTCCAAAGACAAGGAAAAAAAGGTTTAGAATGAAAGGGCGCATAGACAAGAAAGTGGTACAATACAAGCATTGGTCTACAAGCTAAGTGCATATGATTCACGATGACAAAATGTAATTGGGAGTTCACATCCAATATGTGGACTTCAATTAATTTATCACTTGTTCCACGATTATTATCTACTCCCTTCATTCCAGTTATATGATAATATTTCTTTTTTTAATTTATTCAAAATTTTGTTAAATTTAAAATTTATTTAATTTAAACTATTATTTTAACCTTAGTGATAAGTTTCTATAGTCGCACAAAAAATATGAATTATTTAAGATCATAAGTTTCGAACATCTTATAATCACACAAATATTTTGAAATATTTATGATAGTAATTAAGTTTCAAAATTTTTTATTTCTTTTTTAAACTCCATGCAACTCAAACTTTGCCGGATAAATTGAAATGAAGGGTAATAAAGAATTTTACATGCCAAACACACTTGATAAGTGGCAAGTTAAATTGTAATGTGAAAATAACTTTTCAATCTCGGAAATGAACAAAAAATATATTAGTTCCTTTCTACCTCGTCATAAATATAACATCTTTTTCTTTTTAAATTTAAAGTATTTCTCGTATTTAATTATATTGTCAAATGGTGCTTCCGAGAAATGTCATTTCATATTCCCAAGCTATTTAACTCGAGAAAGGCAGAAAGGTACTTTTAGCTGCAAGTTTCTCTTTCTCTTCCCTTCAAGTCATTCTTCTTCATTCTCCTTCGGCTGTCAACATGGAGATCGTAGCTTTTGTCATCGGAGTGATAGGTAATAGCACTTCCTCCTCCTTTATGACATTTGGGATATCAATAGTTTTTTAGCGTTGAAATATGTATGTTCCTACTTTTCAGGCAACATCATCTCAGTTCTCATGTTTCTTTCTCCAGTGTAAGTAACCAATCAAACAAGAAAGAAAATATTAATTGCTAGATCTTTTGCATGGATTGAGGATCCTTATTTTAATTTGAAATGATACATAAATAATGCAGAGGGACATTCATTAGGATAGTGAAGAATCAATCGACTGAGGAATTTGATAGCCTTCCATACATTTGTACATTGCTAAGTTCATCGTTGTGGACTTACTATGGAATTATAAAGCAAGGGAGTTTTCTTGTATCCACTACTAATGGTTTTGGAGTTGCCGTTGAGATTATATACCTGTCCTTGTTCCTGCTCTTTGCTCCACCAAAAATGAGAGTAAGTCCTAAACTGTTTTATTGTTATAGTAAATGAATTTTCTACTGATCATATAATTTTTGCACCCTTCATTCAAAAACATACGCGAAATGTAGATAAATTTTGCAATTAATTAATATTTAAAAGAATGCCTCTGTTTTTATAACTACCTACTCTTTTTAATAAGTGTGGAAGTAGAATTACAAAACTAAGATGCAGCAATTTATGGAATATAGTGGGTGTTACGTTTAGGAGAGCAGAAAAATGGGTCCAGAAAATATTTCCCCTCTGTCTTTTTCTTTGAAATATATATTCACTAAAGCTCACAATTATAAATTAGTCAGCGTCATAACAAGCTAGATTTAACTGAAATTCTGATAGTGCTTGATATTTTGTACTAACTCTTAAAGAAAATTTCTTTAATTATATCTGAATTGTTATAGAGATATCAACATGACTAGTTAAAATTTGAAAAAGCCAAATTAAAAATTTTAGTTGAACTGATATTTTTATTTTTTCTTTCTAAACTTTTTACAGTTAAAGACTGCGGTACTAGTTGTGGTTTTAAATGTAGGGTTTTCAGCGACATTTATTCTGTTGGCACAATTTGGATGTCATGGGGAGATGAGAATTGATTTTATTGGTTTCTTGTGCTCAGCTCTAAACATTGTCATGTATAGTTCCCCTCTTAGCGTGGTGGTAAGCCCCTTTTTCCTTTATTAAATATTCTTGTAATATTTGTAAACCATACGCAAAAGCAATACAAATTTGTTTTCTTACGTAAAAATTATGTTCTAAGTAAAGCAAAGATGCCAGACTCATGCCTTACGTTTAGATATAATCTCTTTGTTTTTGTTTCTGATTAACTAACTCAACCACTCATGCATGTGGGCTATCTACCTTAAAATTGAAGTTAAATATCAATTTGGGATAATATTTGTTTTGGCAGAAAACAGTGGTGACAACAAAGAGCGTTGAGTACATGCCATTCCTTCTCTCACTTTTCTTTTTCTTAAATGGTGGAGTTTGGACTTTGTACGCCTTGCTTGTACGAGACCGGTTTCTTGGAGTAAGTTACCCTAATTTATTTTTTAATTAATTATCATCATTTATATAATAATATTCTCAATGATTTGATCAGTACTCTTTGCTAGATAATCAAATTTAAACTTGTCATCATTATGAAGAAAAAACGCCTAATACACGTTGAGAAACAAATTGTACAATCGTGCAAGCAATATTGTGGGGATCTAAGTTAACAATTAGATAAAATAATACCACTTCCAATTGATGTTAGACTTGTTTTAGCTAGAGAGATAAGCTTTCAACTTTTAGGTTCTTTGCCAGTTCCACGTTATTATTTTAAGGATTTTATTTTTGGCTTATTCCATAAAACCCCTTCTAAACTTGCTCAGAATTTGTAACCTGCACATAATGCTATGATATGGGGTGTTTCGATTTCCCTACGAACTACGTCTTACGTTTTTCAATCCCCCTAGACCAAAAAAAAAAAAAAAAAAAA